TGCTAGGAAATCCTAGCAGAGATTAATGACTATCAATCAGCATCTAAAACAGTCTAATAAGCACCTTATCTATCCCTCCTTCTTAAATACCGGAGAAGCTTATGCTAAGATATCTACAAATCCCTCAGCACTAACTCTCCTTAAAACTTTTTTCCACTGCTTTCCAAAACCTTTTCCACTATTGGGCAGTCAATACACTGAGACTGTCCTCTGCAGCTGATACATCTTTATTTGTTTATCCCTTGGGTTTCCCTAATTATTTTTTTTTTTTTTAACTTTGGGTGTCCACAAATTGGCCTGACTTATATTTGTAGTGTCTCACACAAGGGTCTTTAGGCATGACCCATAAAGCTACTATTTGTGATAGGCACTTAAAGCATCATCCTCGTGTTGCACAGAGATGGTCTCCCCAGATCTGGGATGTCACTTCTGCTCTGTCACCCACCTTTTCCTTCACCAAGATAGGAACCTTTGCCAGAGTTTGAAGATGTGAAGCCCTTAAACATAAAACTTACTTTACATTCACCCCTTCTCTCAGTCCTTCCTCATGGAATGTTCTGGCGAGCCAATTTCAGCAGCCAGGAAAAAACTAGAGATAGTTAGCTCATAAAAAGGGTAGGAATTAAAGCAAATGAGCAAGTTCTCTTCCCCTCTTCCATCTCTGGTGTGTTTTGGTTTTTTTTAACTGATAATTAATCATTTTAAGTCAGGAGAGATTAATTTCTGTTGGCTGTGCTCCAGCTTTACCTTTTGTTGCGGAAAAGGCCTCTGTCCTCAGAGTTCAGCACATCACTCAAAATAGGCAAGTCAGGCGTCAAGGTAGTGTATCTTCTGGGTCCTTGATTCTCCCAAGGATCCTGATTGTTCTTTTTTCATAAAGACTACATGAACAGAGAAATACTTTACTGAGGGTTCATCATATTCACACAAATAAAGCAACCACCTTTCCTACCAGATGACAGAAACTTGCAGATTTTTTTCCCCCTCCAATTTCAGGTAAACTCTCTCTCCCCCTCCCTGCAATATATAGATTTTTTTTTTTTTTTTTGCAGGCATTTTTGTGATTTCTCCAGGAATTAGTGATTTTTGGTTTGGGATTTATTACACTCAACTCCAAATATCAGTCATCAAAATACCTCTTTGAGATCAGGATTTATCAAATCCTAATCCATGTAAAGATTACATAAACTGCACTGGATGAGAGTTATATATTTCTTTTAATCTCAATTTTGTAGTCTTGCCCAAAAATCCAACTTTCCATGTTATTTCTGCCCTCATTACTGTAAGATCCTTGTAGGACTGTGGCATATTGAAGCCACAGAATAATTTCCTGAGAACAAAGTTCTTTGTTTCCATGCATTTTAATCCAACTTTGGAGTCACAGAAGTATCCTGCAAGGTTTTCCCTGCGTAGTAAAAGAAAGATCTAGTTCCAACTTTGGGGAGAATGTGAGGGGTTTTAACAGAAGTTAGGATTTAGTGCTTGGAAATGAGGGAATGATGTAGGAAGCTTTTGCCCTGAATTGCTGCACAGCTTTGTATCTTCCTATTCCTTTCTTAATTTTGTGAGGTTTAACAAACAAAAGCCATGCAAGTTTGCTATTTCCAAATCCTTCGTTATTCCACACTATGGAGCACAGGGAACATAAGTGTTCCTCTTCACTTAAGACAGCAGCAGGTCTTATACCTGGGATGATTGAACATTTATTCAGTGAGATACAAGTTAAAAAGGGGAATACAGAAGGTGACAAGGCAGCTTTCTGTCAGGAAACACTTAGTATAAAATGTGTGTCATTTATTCCTCAGGATACTGCTTAGTCCCCCAAATATGCAGAGTTTTCATTGCACTCAGAACATTAGTAGAGGAAAAAAAGGCCCGTATCAAGATAAAGGAATACTCGTGTTATAAGTTTTGTATGTACTGAAGATTTTATCACATTGGGCTAGCGTTGCCATAAAAAAAAAATGTGCACTACAAGTACTACTATTTAACCAAGTAAAAACAATTAATGCATTAGAAAGTTACTATGTTTTCAGACTCAGTATGAAAACACTGCAATAGTAACATTAAAAGTGTGTTTGTTGCCACTGAAGTGGTTCTAAAGCCTCTTCTCTCAAAGAATAAGAAGCTTTGAAAGAAGCTCAGTTTCTAAGAAAGTTCAACCTTACCAGAAACATCAGAAAAACAGGGAAAGAATATGAAAGGAAAAAAAAAAAAAAAAAAAGCAGAGAAGGCAGCTGGCCATGATAGTCTGCACAGAAAGATTACAGATTTCTTTCTTGTTAACGTTATGGTCAGAAAAAATGCCAACTCCTAAAAATATTACAAAAAAACCCCAAACCACTATTTTTCATGACAAGCAAAACCACAACTCAGGAGCTGCCTTTAGCACATTTTTACTTTTCTTTAGCTCAGGGACAGTAAAGGGGAGAAGGGGAAATTTCTGTTGCTGTTGGTTGAACATCCCAACCTGCAACAAAACCGGTGTCAGCACCACACAATCGGTATGCTGCCAAACAGCAGCTCACACCTACTTTAGCTTATTTATTTAATTTATTACTTTACTTATTAGAAAACAATAACACCTATTCTTTGTTCTTTACCTGCAAACAGCAATTATGGTATGAATTACACCCTGTTGCCTCCTCTCTGCTTGGGGTGCGCTTCCCTCCATAGAAAAGTCAGGAAACCCTCCGAGAGAGGGGCACCTTACTCCTCTCCCTCTTTACGGAAGTCTCCTGCGGAACTCCACCCTTTGGGGAGGAGCTGGCAAGAACCAGGCAGGACAGCCAAGCCAAAGAGAGATTTACGAGGCTACCGGTTCAAAAATAGAGTCTGAACGTTGATGTTTCCCAGTGAGTCAAATTCCCTGGGATTGTGAGTTAATTAACATTCATTGAGTTTTTAGATTGAAGTCTGAGGAAGAGCCCTTCTCCAATCCATTGGAGTACGTGTCACGCTGAACCTGTCTTTGTCACAGGGCTAACAACTGACGGTGTGGATTACCAAATATTTGAAGGTCTTTGTCCAGAACTCGGCATTGTTTATAAACTTGGAGGATTGTTTGGGGAAATAAGTTAAAATAATAAATTATTGATTACATTGTAGATTTTCACTGTTTCAGTGTAGGGACAATCCTAAGAAAAGTGAGTTTTGAGGCTACACTTTACGGCACAGTTATAAAACCAGGAATCACAAAATGGTTTGGGTCTGAAGGGACCTCAAAGATTATTTAGTCCCCCCCTGCCGCGGGCAGGGACACCTCCCACTAGACCAGGTTGCTCAAAGCCCATGAAAAACGAGCGAGTGTATCCCTATTCCCAGTCTGTGTAGGTGAAATGACATTTTTCAAGGGAGTATCATTTGCAGCATGTCACGCGTAGAAGCTGTACCTCTTAAGGCCATTCAAACACCCAAACGGCGGCGTTTCCTTGGCTGTGACCCCCCCGGGCCCGGCCGCGGCGGGTCAGGAGCTCTGCTCAGCAGCACACCCGCGTTTTGACAGAGATCAGACCCCTCAGCCACCGCCGCCCGGCCTACCGACCACAGCGGGAACTGCCGGAACTATACAGTCACATACCCAGAGCGGACCTTTCTCCCTCCCGCTATCCCGGCGGACAGGCTCCGTGGCGGCCCCGCCGGGATCGGGCTCGATCAGATCCGGA